GTGAGACTCTGTCTCAAAAAAGAAAACCAAGCTCTTCATAAGTATTTCATTTAAAGCAAGTAGCTCAAGGTGGTTTACTAGAAAGTAGTCTACGGCCTTGTGGTTTGACCATCTAAATGAAGTTTATAAGAATATCTGAGGTGGGGTTAATAGGGGAGTTTTTCTCCAGTAAATCTAAAGGTAACCAGATATTTAACTTCTTTCCCTTCACACAGTCCTATCCTTTTTTTCTTTATTCACTTCACATCTCATTCAAGGTCAATGCTCTTTAGGTGAGCAGACTTCCCTCTTAATACCCAAAGCTAAGTTGGGTCATTCCTCACATATATCTGCAATTGAATAAAGCTGATTTCCACTTCTGTTTGGGGTATTTTCTGAGTTGCCTTTCAAGATGCACTTAGACTTTTGATTGTATAAATGGACATACAAAGCAAATTAAAATGATAGATCAGGAGATAAAATTGTTTCTCAGTAGTATGTCGGATGGATCTTCAGCAAGTTATTTTTTGGGTAACTTTTTAGAAAATAATGCTGTGACAAATCTGACACATAGCAGTTTTGTTTTCTGGTGCTTCATCTTGCTACTGTACATTTTTGGATTCAACACAAGAGTTGATCCAATTGAGGCACTTTGTACAGTAGAGATGGACATTACATTCTCACCCTGATTTCCAGATTAAAGCTATCTTATCTAAAATAAACATTATTTATTCAAATTAAACAAACATTTTGGAGCAAGGCTCTAGGGCAACAACAGTGGTAAAACAGGTAGATAAAGTCCCTGTCCGTGAAAGTGTATATGTTAGTGACATTATCCATAGATCTCCAGGCAAAATAGTGGCATTCCATTTAGGTTTCTCTTTTGTTCAATTATCTGAACATATCCAGACATGTTTTTTGAGGAAAGTCAGAATGTGCCTTTATGTAGAGAGAAAAAACTATAAGGTAGGTTTTAGAATTTCACAACATAACGTTGTCTTTGTCACCTTTGAGTTTGGTATGTAGAAAATGGATCATCTATGAATAAAACAAGCCTGATTTCTGCCTATTGTATTTTCTCTTCATATCCTGGTCTCTAGAGCTAAGATTTTGTGGTAAATTGCAATAGGTTTTCTCAGTTTAGATTTTTGGAAATAATTTTTCTCTCCTCCCCTCTTTCTGTCTTTAGTCTTGGCTAGTAGGGTTAAAACTTATTCTGATGTTACTGAGTAGATGATTAGCTACTTCTTGTCGCTTGGGGGAAGTAGCTGAATGTAAACATGGTTACTGCATGTCCTGTATTTTTCAAGGTAATCTCAATTTGTGTTTTGTTCCATTATTTGACAGACTTAATTTTAAATTTAGATGATAAATGGCCCTTTAGGCCAGTGCTCTTCAACCTGAGTCCATGGACCCTGATGAACTTTAGAGGGGTGTTCTGTGAATCTCTTGAAACAATGATGTCAGACTTTGAAGATAAGTGCTGTTTCCTCACAAGGGGCCCGTTTTCTTTCATCAGAATTTCAGAGAACTTGGTGACTGCAAAAAAATGGTTAATAACCACTGTACTTTGTATAAAGGAGATTTTAATTAATAGGAATGATGACATTCCTCCCCCAGACATTCTCCTGTGTGTGTTTGGTATAGTCATGCTAACTTTATTCTTTGGTAATGCCATTTGTCCTCAGGCTTCTGTTCCAGGCTGTCATATTTAATTTTTGAAATTTCTCTTTACCAAAAATAAAATTTGAATGTTTCTAATGATGTCTGCTTTTATTGCTAAGTTTATTTCAATTCATTGGAAAGTTTTAGATTTGGAAATGAACAAAAGGCTAAGGGATCAATGTGTATTTCTGAGGTTTGCCATGAGGGCAGAAATTCCTCTGATTTGTTCATGCTGAAGCCCTGGGGCCTAGCACTACTCATGACACATAAAGAGAAGTTAAATATTTGATAAACATATTAGTTTGAAGTAAGGTATCAAACTTGAGCCATCCAAACTTGAACCCACAGCCCCTGTTCTGCTTCCTTTCATGACTTGAGGGAAAGCTTGCTAAGGAGTAGTTCATTCATGGGCCCCTTGTGTGCTCCTTTCCACATTGCATAGTGTGGTAGGTGAGAGCGTGGGCTTTGGCTCCTCACTGTGTGCTCCTCCAGGCTCCATGATAATGCTTTTGTGTGATCTTTGCAAATTCCTTAACCTCACTGTGCTTTGGTTTCCTCATCTACAATAGGAGATAAGAGTATCCACTTCTTAGGATTTTGTGGGTATTATGAGCTTAGAACAGTGCCTGGTATGTAAACATTTTAGAGGTGTTAGGGCTATTATTCTAGAATAAAAACAAGGTATTCTATTATCACTTATGTGTACCTTTTATCTCTAGCACTACCTTGGTTTCTTTCTTTAGGCATAAAAACAATTCTCCACATTAAACAAAACCCTTGTCTTAAAACCAGCATACTCATGTTGCTGGTAGCAGTGAAAATTAGCCCTGTCCCTTTGGAGAGCGATTGGGCAAGATAGGCCCAATCATAAAAATATTGGCATTCTAACTCAGGGATTCCATGTCTGGAAATCTTTTCTAAGGACATATCTTTAAATGTAAAAGGGACACTATCTATGCGTATGTTACATTATAATGTCCATGGCTAGAACGAATGGTTAAATCAACTGTGTAAATACACGTTGACAGGTGATGGGTTTGAAGACCATGTATAATAACATGGAAAATACTTGTGATAGAAAGTACAGTATTTTGTATATGCATTATGATTACAGTCATGTTAAGGAATACATACTGACATTCAGGTATTTCCCTAGGATAGGACTTGTAAGGGCTCCTTTAATTCCCCCTTTCCCCCCAGAATCTTCATTTATGCAAAACTGGTTCTAAAGGCTGAGATTTTACCCTGAAATTTGTTGTTCTATATACCTTGTTATAAGCCATTATCTTTGATATATAGCTTTACGAATTCCAGGTTTAGTCAAATTCTGTGGAATGGGATGGCTGTGGGGTTTGCAAAGATGAAGGTCACTCTGCATACTCAAGGAATAGTTTTATATGGGGGATAAGAGAAGTATGAGAACCCAGGATGTACTTACCAGGTAACATTTACAGTTTGGGCTCCTTGGTGCCTAATGATTGATTTTTGAATAATGTAGATGTCTCATATTTACCTCTTGGATAAAAACAGCCTGGTTGTGCTGTATTTAAATACCATTGTGAATTCTAAGATGAAAGCTGTGAGCATTGAGTTCTTTAAAACCATGCATGTGTTTCCAAAGCCCATTCTCTGTATTACTCAGTGTCTATTAACAGACAGCAAAGGACTTCTCCATTGTGCATCTCCAACCACCCAGCCCTCCTGAGGCAAAATTTAGAGGTTCTATGAAATGGCTTTAGAGAATATTCCTTAAAAAGGAAAAATGGAGGTACTACAGTAATAGGGTATTGGGCAGGTGGGAGGGGGGTGGGTGGGTATATACATATATAATGAGTGAGATGTGCACCATCTGGGGGATGGTCATGCTGGAGACTCAGACTTGTGGGGGGAGAGGGGGAAATGGGCATTTATTGAAACCTTAATATCTGTACCCCCATAATATGCCGAAATAAAAAAAAATTTGCACCCCCCCCCAAATAAAAAAAAAAGGAAAAATGGGAGCCTGGGTAACAGAGCTAGACTCCATCTCTAAAACCAAAAAATAAAAGCTGGGCTCTGTACCATGAGCTTGTAGTTAGTCCCAGCTACTCAGGAGGCTGAGATGTGAAGATCTCTTGAGCCCAGGAATTTGAGGCTGTTCTGAGCTATGCCATGCCATGCCATGGCACTCCAGACTGGGAGACAGAGCGAGACCCTGTATCTTGCAAAGAAAAAGAGAAAAGGGGTAAACTCCTTCCCTGAGAAAGTCATTCCTCCAATGTTTTGGAGCTTAGTTTGAGAAGTACTGTCTTTTCTGACATATAGTTTTTTGTTTTTTTGGTTTTTTTTAAGGCACTCTGTGGGAGTTGGGTGCATTCTTTCTGTCAGTGTTCAGAGGCATATTGGGGGCAGGGGACGGGAAGAGTCCTGTGCCTCTGCCTATATTCACACCCTCCTGGTCTTGGCACCTTTTCCAGTTCAATAGTCATGGAAGCAGCTTTTACATACTTTGAGGTTGGTGTGGCATATGTGATACGGCATTTCTGTTTTTATACATCATAGTATAGCTGTAAATTTTATGTGGGACTTAAAAATTGACCTAATTTGAAAGAAAAAGCCGTTTGAGTAGATGCGAGTCAATGTAATTTTATTTGTGCCATAATGGAACCTAGGTTTTTGATATACCTTCTTTTGTAGTGGGGAAAAGTATAGATCCAGGAGGCTCAATTTTCTACCTCGTTGTAATCTTAATTTACCACTACTTTCCCATAGAGCTTTAAAAGTCACTTTACTTCTACTTCCTCATTTGCAAAAACAAGGATTTCATTATCTATGCATACAGTACTTTGCTGAAGTTGCTAATCATTTGTATAACATGCCAGTGAAGAAATCTATCATAAGATGGTCTCTGGAAGCTTTTACAGTTTTTAAGAAGCAAATGGTGCATTAACGTACTGTATACTTTTTTCCTCTGAAGGGATAAGAATGTTCCTTCATGTACTATTCTATTTTATTCCTCTGATTTTTATAAACAAAGATGGTCTATGGAAGTTTTTACAGTTTTTAAGAAGCAAATGGTGCATTAATGTACTGTATACTTTTTTCCTCTGAAGGGATAAGAAGGTTCCTTCATGTACTATTCTATTTTATTCCTCTGATTTTTATAAACAAAGGCATTATGCTATAGTAAATGACTCATTTTTGGAATTGGTATTCCTGCCCTTAACTGAGGCAGGAAGAAACAGGAAATGCTTTATCTTCTAACCTGTTTTGATAGGCAAGGCTGAAGACTAACAAGGAAGAAAACAGGCATCTGCCTTTGATGTTATGGCTTCCTATTAGCACTAAGAGAAAACTGGTCCTTTCCCCTGTTCTAGCCACATGTTGCCGTTTGATTGCTCACCAGTCCCGTTTGCCTCTCTACAGACAAGAGTTAGTGTGACTCTTTAGGCTTTGGGATTTATCCATGCACGTTTTTTTTTCTTTTCTAATACAGTTCAGTTATCTTCCATGGCTTCATATTGAGATTGTACACTATCTTTAGATGAGAGTTTTCCCAGCTTTCAGCTGAAATTGAACACAAGTGTCCAAAAGGAATACTGGAATTATTGAAAGTGGGATTTTGGCCTTCACTGGAATAAAGTTAGTCAAGTTATATTGACTTGTTACATCTCCCCATATTCCTGGAAAGGATTTAGGTGGCAGTATGTATGGAGACTCCTTCACAGCCAGGCCTAGTGAGAGAGTTGCTGTAGTGAGTGCTCACTTTATTATCCTCCAGGCACCCTCCCCCAGGCACTATGCCTTCTGTCCATTGCAGTTTCTCACGGCAGGGTCACCCAGTGTCACTAACACCAACGGGACATGATTCTTTATTTTACCTTGCTGCAGAGTCTAAAGTGATTGCTCCTTTTATGCATATTTTTTTCTGATTTTAAAAGTACTACATGTTCATTGTGAGAAATCTTGAAAAAAGACTTGTAATCTCTATCCTGAAAACTTTTTCCTCATTGAATTGTTTCTGTGACAACTGGTGTCTTCCTTTCCTCTTGTTTCTCTAGATCAGATCTGAATCAGTTGGCCTGTGGCTATTTCTGTCTTGCAGGCACTCAAGCCCAGCATCTCTTAAACTGAACAGCTCTGCCTCTCCTAAATATGCTCAGCCGATACCTTTGTGATACCTCACTGGGAGGTACCACTCTTCATGCAGTGCTAGAGCCATAAGATAAGGACCAATCCTTGACTCCTCTCTTAGTCTCTATTTTATTCAGTAGTTAGAATCTTATTACTCCATTTACTTGCCATCTCTCCACTCCTAGCGCCTTAATTCAGACTCTCTTTATTTTTCCACCTGAGTTTCCCCAAAGCATCATCTACTTTTGAACCTCTGAGGACTTCAAAGCTTAACTTACAAAATCAGGGCATCTGTGACCGGTTCCTACACCCCAAGTCTGAGTGTGGTGCTGGTGGTCCTCTCTCCCCACTTCATCCACACTTCTTCCCTCTGTCTTCTCCCACGCTCCCATGGACTCACAGCACCCTGTACTATGCTTAGGACAGGTATTTCATTCTGCTATAATTGCCTGTTTACTTTTATGTCTCCTTAAGGGCAACTATGTTTTATTCATAGTTGCATCAGTAGTATCCAGCCTGGAGTGGTTAGTAAACTTACGATAAATGGGTAGAAGGAAATTCACATTTTTAGGATAAAGGTTAGTAGGAAAAAAATGTGAGGCTGTTATGTTAGTTTTGCAGTCCTGGCTGCCTAAAAAAAATCTTAATGATATGGTTGGACTTCCCTACCTGGTCTAGTGGTCATGGTTCTGTGAATAAGTCTTCCAATGTGAAGTATGCTAGGGTAAAGCTGATAGGTTGGCTGGAGTGGGCTCCAGCACCTTGCGTTGCACTGACAGAAGGTAGGCTTTCCTGTAGCTAACAACAGTGTAGCAGAGATGATAGGACAGTTGTGCTAGGGATGCACAGGAGGGCATAAGTTAGTGTCTTGGTGATTGGATGTGTGCGTCAGGGAGAAGGAATCTAAGTGACTCAGTTTCTGGCTTGATGGATTAGGTGCTTGAGGCTATCAACTAGTATTGTTGATTTTGAAATTCCTTTAGACATCCATGTATGTCCACTAGGCAATGGATATGAAGTTTGGGAGAGCATGCCTGTGGAACGATGGGAGAGTTAAAACTACAAGAGATCACTTAGACATATAGTTTAAGTGGAGCAGTGGTTTAGAAAAAGAACCTGGAAGAACACTGATCTTTAAGGGCTAGGGAAGAAAAGAGAGCTGGGAAGGCTGTGTCAAGGAATCTGAGGAGTTGGAATTGAAAAGGGGATTAGCAATGAAAAGGCCATCAACTTTATTGTGCTCTAAGGAGAGAATAACAGGTAAGAAAATGGGTCTGTTTTTTCCCCTTAGAGTAGGTACTTTAGTATGGACAGTCTGCCTGGTTTTTGGTCGAGCATTACTGCCTTACCCCTGTTCCTAGCCTATTAATAGTACCCCAGCCCAAATCCAGAGCCCCACTGACACTCTTACATTGATTGGATCTAACACATCACCTCTAACGTCCCTTCAAATGCCAACCTAATGTTAACAAGAGAGTCTGGGCCCAATCCTAGAATTCTGATTCAGTGGACCCAGGGATCTTAAGAGGGGCCCTTCTGTGATTCTGAGATGTGTAGGTGCCAATAAACCTCCATTTTATTTCATTGCAAGAGAGCAGGACTTTATTATAGCAAACTTTCCAACTATAATTGTGATGAAGAGGTTGGCAACCATGGAAACCTAGCTGGAGCTTTATCCATGCCTGTCTTTGTGTGGGGGTTTGTTGGGGATGGGGAAAGTGCCACCACCTGGTGTGATCTGTTGGAGATTTAAAGTTTTAATTGCATGGATTTTTGCAGCAGATGTCCCTGCATCATGTCCTCAGTCTACCACTCATTTCAACCAAAACTCAAGATTTTTGGGCCGGGCATGGTCTCACGCCTGTATTGCTAGCACTCTGGGAGCTCGAGGCAGGAAGATCACTTGAGCTCAGGAGTTCAAGACCAACCTGATCAAGAGTGAGAACCCCGTCACTACTAAAAAAAATAAAAAAATAAAAAGAAAAATTAATTGGCCAACTAATTAGCCAGGGATGGTGGCCTATGCCTGTAGTCCCAGCTACTCGGGAGGCTGAGGCAGGAGGATGCTTGAGCCCAGGAGTTTGAGGTTGCTGTTAGCTAGGCTGATGCCAGGGCACGGGCACTCTAGCTCAGGCAATAGAGTGAGACTATGTCTCAAAAAAAAAAAAAAAAGACGAAAAAAATTTAATTTTTCCCCCCCAGAGTCTGGCTAGCACCTGTCTCACTTTGTGCCCTGGGGGAAGGGGAGAGAGATAACCCTAGGCAACCTTCAATGAGTGGGGATCCATGTTCTACCTCCCTTAAGAGTCCCATGGAATTGCCCCCACTTTCCAGAGGTCACCTTGATTGTGTCCTTATTTGGCTTTTCCCTTTCCCTGTTGTACCTTTCCTTCCCTCACTTCTATTCCCTGGGATCATCTACTATTTAATCTTGCTTAAACCTTGCATACAACTGTAATGTGTCAGTTGAGCTGACGTTACAGCTTAAATGCAAATAAAACCTTCTCTAATTACATTAGTTTTTTCTTAATGTCCCTGTCTATCAATAATAGCACCTCAAATAATGTGTGGGGGAGGAAGTTGAAGGGAACATAGTGTGTAGTGCAAAACAGCACATGCATTGCTAAAGTTTAAATTTATTTGCACTCTGTAATGAGATCATTATATGAGAATTTATTTTTCCCAACCCCCATTTCTTTCATTTCATTTAGGAAAGGGTTTGAAGGGTTATGAAAACCCAGAAAATAGTTGGCACAGAGAGACAGCACTAGATGTGTGCCTCTTTTATGTTATCTTGTTCTTGAGGAATTCTCGGTGGCTTTCTATAAGACTAAATTATAGAATGTAATGATAGAAAGCTATTAAGAATGTTACAGTGAGGCCGGCGTGGTGGCTCACGCCTGTAATCCTAGCACTTTGGGAGGCAGGCGGATTGCTCGAGGCCAGGAGTTCGAAACGAGCCTGAGCAAGAGTGAGACCCCGTCTCTACTATAAATAGAAAGAAATTAATTGGCCAACTAAAATATACATAGAAAAAATTAGCCGGGTGTGGTGGCGCGTGCCTGTAGTCCCAGCTATTCAGGAGGCTTAGGCAGCAGGATTGCTGGAGCCCAGGAGTTTGAGGTTGCTGTGAGCTAGGCTGATGCCACGGCACTCACTCTAGCCTGGGCAACAAAGTGAGACACTGTCTCAAAAAGACTACAGTGCACAAAGGGAGAAGATTTGTACAGATGGTCAGGATATAAATTGCCAAAGATCAGAAAGATCCTGATAAGATACATGTCAAGGGTATCATTTAAAAGACAACTTGTGTGCCTTAAATGTGAAATCTCCCTTTACCTGGCTAGAAGATGCCCATATTTCTTCTTTTAGCTGAGACTGGAGTCTAGGAATTAAAAGTTGAAGTGAAAAGTAAACTTGTTCCAGATGATCATTTGCATTCTTGATGATTAAAATTGACATCTGAGCAGTTCCCATGGAGGCTTCCAAATTGTAGGCACTCAGTAAAGGTTGGTGAAGCAACTGAGAGGGAATATGCTGAGTTACCTTAGACTGCTGTCCCAGTGAGCGAGAGTAGGTGAAACTGAACAGGCTTAGACCAGTATATGCTGTTGCTTCACTCCCACCAACCTGTGACTGCAGCTCTTTATTTTGGTCTGTAATTTTGCGGGACATCAGGCATCCCTGGACAATACTTTCTCCAATCCAGGATTTTATGTGTAGCAGTGTGCTACTTTATGTAAATTGTAAATAGACAATGATTATCTAATGAGTAGTCATTAGATTATCTAGTTTTTCAACCTCTCAGTTAACATTTCAACTCACACCCAGAGAGGAAGTGACTTGCTCAAGGTGAAATGATATGGCAGGGACTAGAACACAGGTCTCTGTTATGTAATCATCTTTTTGTCTCATTTCTGAAATGGCTACCATCTCCACCCGTGGCCAAGGGAACAAAACAAGGTACTAAGATAGTATCAGGAAATTTGACAGTTAAATGTTTATACAAATAGATGATTTGGAAAATCAAGACTAATAGATGGGCAAAGTTACATAAGCAAACAAGTGAAAGATTATAAGCATCTCAACATTGAGCAGCATGGGAAGTTTTAGGAAGCAGTACAATGATTTTGATGGGCTTCTTTGCAACGGAGAAAATGCTAGTTGTGATAACCTAGCAAGAAATAGTGTTTAAAAAAACTTTTCTAAAAACAAAATTGGTTTCTTAATCAAATGTGTATTTCTTTCCTATAGGGCCTCTGTTATGCACCTGAAGCCATACTGGAAACTCCAGAAGAAAGAGTGCCCTCTGGAAGTCAGCAGGGAAACGCTGAGAACTCATATGAGCCACCAAAAGGCTATAAGTGATGAAAAATGCAGATCTAGCTACATGAAACCAAGTGTCTTTCCTTCAGTCTCTCTTGGTAAAGCATCATCTCAAAAGCCTTTTGGGATCCTTTCTCCAAATGTTCTGTGCAGTATGAGTGGGAAGAGTCCTGCAGAGAATAGCTTGAATGTTAAAACCAAAAAGAATGCACCATCTGCAACAATCCACCAGGGCGAAGAAGAAGGACCACTTGATATCTGGGCTGTTGTGAAACCTGGAAATACCAAGGAGAAGATTGCATTCTTTGCAGCCCACCAGTGTAGCAATAGGATAGGATCTATGAAAATAAAAAGCTCCTGGGATATTGATGGGAGAGCTACTAAAAGAAGGAAAAAATCAGGGGATCTTAAAAAAGCCAAGATACAGTTAGAAAGGATGAGAGAAGTCAACAGCAGGTGCTACCAACCCGAGCCTTTTGCGTGTGGCATCGAGCACTGTTCTGTGCATTATGTGAGTGACAGTGGGGATGGAGTCTATGCTGGCAGGCCTCTGTCCGTTATACAGATGGTTGCCTTCCTTGAGCAAAGAGCTAGTACTCTGCTAGCTAGTTGTGCGAAAAACTGCACAAACTCCTCTGCTGTTGTGAGGTTTTCTGGCCAGTCCAGAGGAGTGCCCCCAGCCTCTGAGCACTTCTCTGCTCCAGGAGCATGTGAAGAACCCGTAGAAAGGGGGAATCCTGAAGTTGGTGAACCACAGAGCGAACCAGTCCGTGTCCTCGACATGGTAGCCAGGCTGGAGTCCGAGTGCCTGAAGCGGCAGAGCCAGCGTGAGCCTGGGAGTCTCTCGAGGAATAACAGCTTCCGTCGAAACGTGGGCAGGGTGTTGCTCGCCGATAGCACTCAGGCTGATGAAGGCAAAACAAAAAAAGGTGCCATTGAGGCACCTGATGCTCAGGTGAATCCTGGGGGATCTGTATCTGTAGTCTGTGTCCCCTCAAAAACTGATGATTCTCCTAAAGGGGACACGGCCTGGGATGGTGCTTCTCGGGGCTGTCTCTCATTGCCAGCAGGTGTGAATTTCCACATGGACGATGCAGAATTAGAGCCAGGTCCACAAACTGCCATGAAAAATAGCAACAGGTATGATGTGGAAATGACAGATGAACTTGTTAGGTTACCTTTTTCTCACACCTGTCCCCAAGCCACTGAACTGGCCACAGATGCTGTTGACGGTATGAGTAGAGAGCCTGTGCCACTTACTAGCCACAATCCTGATCAGAGAAGAAAAGTATCTTTGTGCATTAGTATCACTGTGTCCAAGGTGGAGAAAGAACAGCCTTCTAGTTTAAACTCCTGTGAAGACCCACTTCCAGGGATGTTGTTTTTTTTGCCACCTGGTCAGCACCCATCAGATTGTTCCCAGCCGAATGAAAGCACAAGAGAGTCCTCGGAGCCCAGCCGGTGCGATGCTGCTGCTGAGGGTGACAGCGCATCTGGAGAGAAAAGTGGTTCCGCTGAGCCGTTTGTAGCACCAGCTACTTCTGTGGAAAGTACATTACCGGTGCTTGAGGCATCCAGTTGGAAGAAGCCGGTGTCTCATGATTTTCTGGAGACCAGGTTTAAAATCCAGCAGCTTTTGGAGCCTCAGCAGTACATGGTTTTTCTGCCCCATCACATCATGGTAAAAATCTTCAGGTTACTTCCCACTAAAAGTTTAGTGGCTCTTAAATGTACCTGCTGCTATTTCAAGTTTATTATTGAATACTACAATATTAGGCCAGCAGATTCTCGCTGGGTTCGAGATCCACGCTATAGAGAGGATCCTTGCAAGCAGTGCAAGAAAAAATATGTGAAAGGGGATGTGTCCCTGTGCCGCTGGCACCCCAAGCCCTATTGCCAGGCATTGCCGTATGGGCCAGGGTATTGGATGTGCTGCCATCGGTCTCAGAAAGGCTTCCCTGGCTGTCAGCTGGGGCTTCACGACAATCACTGGGTTCCTGCCTTCCACAGCTTTAATCGGGCAATCCATAAGAAAGCGAAAGGGACTGAAACTGAAGAGGAATACTAAGAGAGCCAACAAAAGGACCCATTTTTGAAGCCACAAGACACCATTCAAGTGAGTGTTGCCTCTCGAGAGTTATCACTCTAGGAGAATCTGCACTTACTCCATCAGGACCGCCATTGCTCAGGCATTTTTAAAACTCTTAATTTGTGAGCTTTACAGGAAAATTGGTCTCATTGTTTTATAGTGGCATCTCACATCCAGGGTAGTATCACACAGTTTGATTTACTTGGCTGTTTTCCTAAATCAAATCCATCCTCAAAGGATGAAGACTTGCTGCCGTCAAGAACATTCCGAAGAGTTCACTGCAGACTCTGCAGGCAGTCCTCAGAAAGAGGTTCTAGAAATGTTTTGAGCACTGGCACCATATTTGAAGTAAGTGAATAGTGTCCTATGAAAAGAATAGCAGGACTCTTGGATGAAAGGTTATTTCTTAAGAAGGAAAAGTCAGGCACCTTACCTTAGACCTTGTATGCTCGATCCTGTGAGATTGATGTTTGTGGTTGGAGATGGATTTCATGCCCTGTGGTGTTTACAGTGTATATAATGGTTGTGTTTTCATAGGGCTATGAAAGTGCACATTAACCCCGAACGCCTTTACCTTTAAGTGAGTGCTTTGGCCCCTCTGTAAATAACATGATTAAAATCCAGTTGTACATAATGGACAGCTGGCTGAACAATATAGTCACCACAATGCAGCTAGGATAGTGTTGCGGCTATAACTGAGTGTTTTTTGATTGTCTAGTCTCAATTTGTATATCCTGTATAAACTATGAATGTTTCCTAAATAAACTATGAATGTTTCCTGTATAATATATGAATGTTTCTGAGAAGAAACTCTAAATAGTTAAAGGCTAACCTGTTCAAAGGATACCAAATAATGGTTTAACTGGACAACCTGAAAATTAGCATAGAGAACAATCTTTCGTTATATTTTAGTGATTCGCCAAGATTGAGAGAATATTATATAGTCAGATTATAACATTCTTGTCTATTTTATCCTTTGTCTGGTTACAATTTTTTTTAAACTTCAATAAAAACATGCATCTTAAATGAGACCTGAGTTTTACAAAGACTTTTTCCTCCTTTTGTAATACAGTATTGAAAAAGTCTTGTGAATTGAGTCACTTTTTCTGCCACAGAAAAGAGACCATCTTAACATTGTAAGTTTAAGTTTTTGCAATTCTTCAACACTTACTTTGAGTTGTCTGCCCAATACCCCCTATATTTCCTGTTTGATGTCATTATCTAGGATATTTTACATCTTGTCCTGGTAGATAATCAATCATTTAGAAATCATTAAAGATATCTATTCAGGCCTGTGGTCACATAATGCTTGGTGGGCTGGAAGGTTTGGGACCACAGAAAGCTGTGGGTGGAGGACCTAAAAACTAGGTTGGCTTGAAATCAAGTACCCACGTAAAACCCTGCGACCAGCCTAAGCACTGGGCTTGTGGAGAACAGATGGTAAATGTTCTAGTGGGAGGTGCTATGCTAGGTGACATGCTAGGCTAGATCCGTGACACAGGACCAAAAGGAGGCTGAGAATAGCTTACTTTTCTTTCAAGGGAGTGGTTTTCCTCGTGACTCACCCCAGCTGAGGCATGTTGGAAAATGCTTTTAAATCCTGAAGTCCCTTGGGCTGAAGTTTCCCGTGCTTGTTTTATTACCCTTTGATTTGCTCTAAACTGGCAAGCTCAGTAGTGCCTTCCTAATAGGTTTGCTGTGATTCATAATTTAGGCTTAAAGGAGATAATGTTCATAAAGGACTTTGAATACAGCTTGGTGTGTAAAAAAAAAAAAGTGCCCAATGTTAGCTATCATTGTTACCAGCTGTGGTTCTACATTTGCCCAGCATGGACACAGGTAAACAATTGCCATTCCTTACCTGGTTTTCATGTGGGACACAAAGCTGTGACTGTGTGAGGGGTTAAAGTGACCAAGAGCAGAGAGCACAGCAAGAATGCCCCAGGTTCACCTGGCATGCAGTGCTTAGGCCCTCAGAAATCACTGACGACCTGTTTTGAGCTGTGTAGCAGGACCTGGTTCCCAGTGCCATCTGCATGAGTGACGGAGGATTTTAGCAGGTGGCTTCAGAGGGCACCACCTTCCTGGTTTTCACTTCCAAGACAAGCGTAGCTTTCCCTTAGGAGGAAGACGCTGTGCTTCAGGGCCCCCTAGTGCCAGGCTGGTGCGCACAGCCCAGCTGTTAATTTCCCGCAAGAGTGCAGCACTACCTGCCCCCTGCGCATCGCTGTGGGTCACAGACTTCAAGGAAATAGCAACATGGGCACCCAGACCCTAGCCTCTCCCCAACCTGGACCCCTGCAAAGAAAACAGGGAAAACCTCCCCCTTCAGCTTTTCCTCAAAGGTTCTGATACACCTGGCTTAGTTTTTCTCAGCTTCTCACTTCAAGCCCTCATTGATCATTTGAAAGGAAAACCAGAACTAGAGAAACCAAAAGGGGTCAGAGAGCTCCTCCTCCCTCCCACCTCTAGGGCAGCCTGACTCTGTCCCCTGCCCAGTGGATGAGACTAGAGACCCAAGCAAGGAGTGAACTGGAAGTGAAAAAAAAGACCAAGATCAAAGTTTGCTTTTTTAGGCTCTGTCAAAATGACTCTGGGTTAAAATGGCCAAATTTCTGAAAGGACCATTCAAAATTTACTACAGACCCTGCCTAAGCAGACTGATGGCTCTGTGCTTTGGCAGCACCTCCTTTGGAAACCCAACCTATGTCCCCACTCACCTTTTCTGGCTGGGTGCCTGTGCGCATCTGCCACCACACAGCCCTCATACCTGTCGCTGTACACTTGACCCTGCGCACCTGTGAGTTCTGGGTCCAACCAACCGTGGAATGAGAATACTTGGACAAAAACTGCTTCTGTGTACAGACTTGTCATTATTTCCTAAACAATACAGTATAATCACAGGGGATTTACATTGCCTTGGGTATTAAAAGTAATCTAGAGATGATTTAAAGTATACAGAGGATGTGCATAGGTTGTATGCAAGTATACCACTTTTTATCAGGTGATACAAAATGGGTATCTGTGGATTTTAGTATTCTAGGGAGGCCCTGGAAGCAGTCTGCCATGGATACCAAGGGACAACGGTATATGCAGCTCTCTTGTCCACTGCACTCTGGACTCAGGGCATCTTGTGCCACCACTGTCAGTACCTCACACATAGTACATGATCCATAAGATGTTTGCCTTCCTCCATAGTGACCATCTTAACAGGGGTTCTAGCAGGTTCTGACTGTTCTGGGCCATACTGTAATTTTCTATCTAGTATGAGAAACCTGAAGCAGGGACGAAATCTTTTCCTCTGGTCACAGCCGGTCCCATGGGAGCATTCTTGGCTAGGGAAGCTCGTGCATTTGGAATAATCTAGGCTCTGCTGTTACCAGTAGCTCCCCTGGCAGCAGGCTGCAGCTTACAGCAGGGACCTAAGGGTTCCTTTCGTGGGCTTTGTCTAGTCACCCTCCTGTAATGGACTTGTCAGTGCCTCTCTGCCAATGTTTTTGGACCAGCCTTGAACACTTTATGTGAATATCCCAGATGTTTTCCACAGTTTTGATAGCCATCATTCCTTCCTTCCTTCACTCAGATGGGCTATTCACCCTCCTTTATCGGCTGCCTGCTTCAAAAACAGAAAGCCAGTCTGCACCAAACCTTTCTGCACACTACTGACAGCACCAATAATAAAGGCTGATGGTATCTAGCCACATGTCACGTTTGAATGCGTTCTCTACAGTGCAGCACCTGGCACTTGGGGAATCTAATCGTTTCTATCCTTGTTTTTCCTTTGAGTTCAAATAAGCTAGTGTTGCAATCTTTGTGATTTGGTGAAAGTACCTGTGTGGGAAACTTATGCTGTCCCCTCAACTGACATGCACACCATTCTAAAGTTTGTGACCACAGCTAATGTTTGCACAACCTCATGGGAAGAGCAAACACTGTGGTTATGCACCCTTGGGTAACACCCACTGTATTCAAACCAGGTCAGTTTAAGGCTGACCTTCTACTCTAGGTAAAGGGGTAGGGGTGGCCATGCCAATAGCTTCTTGGCATTTCTCCTGGCTGGCCTGGCCCTTCCACAGCAGTCACTCTTGGTACCCCCCTCCACCTACAGGTGACCCCCTCTCTGCAATCATCTAAACTGAAAGGTACAGACTACCCACTGGGACACTGGGGGGAGATGAGTTATGTGGGTGGAGGGGGGGAGGAATCTTCCAAATCTCTTCCTCTGAGCTTGAGAGGTCCCCTCTAACATTATGCTTTCTCTCTTGTCCCAAAGTCTGGGCAATTTCCACAGGGGCATCCTGGAGGCACACTCCTTTCCCAAGGTCTGTTGCAAGGAACCAAGTTACTACTGTGGGTCATATGCCTCATATGATGGCTACCAAAGAAAAATGCATCCTTAGAAAAAGTGACAATTTTCCCAGCTTACCAAAGAAAGACCACTATTATTAATACCACCATGATCTATAATTAATATATATAAACAGGTTTTTTTCTTAGAAAATTTCTTAAAAATTATTCTATAACTTGTATAAAATACCTCAGGATTAGATCTCATTCTTGCTACTCTCAATGTAGCAATTGAAGTGAATGATCAGAATTTGAAAAAGACATACATATTAGCAAAGTACTGTTAAAAGATTTATTGTAGTAATACAATAAAAGTTTAGAAAACATTTGTATGACTTGAACTGGTTTAGAAGTTGCAGAGCAAAGGGAAATTCCTGCAACGTGACACTGCGAGGAGATTCTCAAACACCGTAGTTCTTTGAACAGCATGCCGCTGAATGCTCTTTCCCAGGTGATACAGTGGTCCTTACGGGAATCGGTCCACTGTACCCAGTGTAGTGACATGCTGTTTCCCCCAACTTATAGATGTGCAAAACTTAGTTATATTCCATTACAAAAAAATGTCTTTTAACAGACCATCTTAAGCAGCCTATTTGGTGCCTGTGGGTTTTTATTAGTATTACATTTTTTCAATAAATCATTTTAACATGAAAAACATGACCAAGTTCTATGGCTTTTTGTTTAAAAAAAAAAATACCAGCTTCAATTTTTTAAAAAGCTGTTTACATATGGTTCTGGCACCTACATGAAAGATTTCAATGAGCAGCAAAGAGTAGAAAAAACAGTGGTTGAAATGTATATTTAAGAATATTTACAGGGTGGATCCAGTGCAAAATTAATGAAACCCAAAATATTTCAGCAGTGTAAGCCAGTATATTCATGTTCAAAACCACAAAAGGGTTTGATCACTTAACCCTACGTAAAGTGCCTCTAGCTGATATTAACAACAAGTATACCTTATCAATCCCTAAATTTCCCACATCCTTGTAAGTTTTGTTGAATTACTCTAAATATGAGTCTGTGATCTCTGGATTCCATACTTAAGCTTCATCTAACATTCAGGGTTTTATAAGATGCTTACTTGAGAAAGCCATGACTAATGTCTCTCTCTCAGCCGAAGCCACTCTCTACTTACTCCCAAGCTTCCAACTCTTTGAGACTAAGCTCTTCCTTCTGAGGGCCTGAAGTACCTAGACAACTCTTATCTCATAAGATTAAGTTTATTTGGTATTTGTTCAAGTCTGCCATATCCACTCTCTATGAACTCCAGAACTGGATGGTAAAATGCAAGCCCAGCAATCATGAAGCTGAGCATTTAAAACAGATACCAGCTGCATAAGAACCCACAAGGAGAAAAGCCTGTTTCCTAAGCAGAAAATTTATAAAGCCAGGGAACTTGGACTTCTGGATAGGAATAAACTCCCTCCCCTCTTCTGCAACTCTACCTGAAAACTATACCAAACACCAAATAATACCAATAGCAAAAGCTATATAGCACCTCGGACGTGGAGGCAAATGTCAACTATAATAATTACGTGAGAAAGCAGCTGGGGCATGGCAAATCTCTGAATGATTTATCTGAGGTGGTATCATGCTAATCACACCAAGAGGATAGGGTAATAATGCCTGTTAGGAATTTCTCTCATAGTACTTCTTTTTGTAGTTTTTATATAAGATTTTTT